AATAGCAGTCATATCTGGCCGGCAAATTGGCGGCGCGTCCCGCAGCCGCCCGCGTCGCGTCCGCGTCAGCCGCGCCGCGTTAGCCGCGCCACGCAGAAAAACGCCGCGCCCCGGGAGTTTATTTATCCGTCGTTTTACGGCGGCGCTGGCGGCGCGTGGCCGGCTATCGCGACGCGCATCTGTGCCGCCGGATATGGTCCAAACACGGCCGCGCTCAATTAGCCGACCGCGGGGGCCGGTGCGATTCGGACGAGTCCCGCTGCGGCCGGCCGGCGCGCGGCGCCAACCCAAACGCGCCAGATTGATCTCCAGCGGCGCGCGCGCGCGCGTAAAAAGCGCGCCAACCGGCCGGCGCGCGGCGGCGTGTCGCGCGGCCGGGCCGGGCCGGGCGGGGTCGCGGTCGGGGCGGCGGCGGTGCCCCGCTGAGGCCGCGCCCGGCCCGGCCCGCCCCCGTGCAGCGGCTTGACAGCCGGTCCGGCCCCCGTCTGAGGGCGGCGCTGCAGCCGGCCGGCGCCGGCCGCCTTGATCGGTATCGGCGGCCGGCTCCGACCGCGGCCACCGCACTGAGAGCGTCGGGAGCCCGGCCGGCGGGCTGCGGTGTCTCCGCGTCTCGGTCGGAGGACACACGGCTGCGACGGTTTGAGCATTGATGCGGATGGCCTCCGGAGTCAGGACCTGTGCCTTTTTGGGAACTGATGTGTCAGCCATCAGGTGAAGAGCCAAGTGAACAGACAAACAGGTTACGGGTCCCGAAATATATGGACACTAGGGTGTGTTAAAAGTTTGGCAATTCATCGGCGCTGTAAGTGCTTAGGTGACTCGGTTCCATCTCCGCGGCAGTAATACACCCACTTCCCCATTCCATGACACATCACAGCTGAGTGTGGCGGAACCGCACCGAAGCTGGGCGCGCAGGCTGACGTCAGCGGCGTCAGCCATGGCAGGGTCGGCGACTCCCGCCCTGCCCGGATACGTCATCTGGGGGACGTCGAGTTACGACGCCGTAAAGTCGGCCGGACATTTCTGTAACATCTTACGACGGCTATAACTGCCACCTCTGTTAGCGCTTTACGACTGCGTGCCCTGCGCGACCGACGTCGCGCGCCAGACGCACACCATCGACCGGCCGTGCCCGCCACCCACGCACGACCCCCCCCCCCCCCTGGCTTCTCGGCTTCCACGGGGGGAGGTCAGTCAGCGGGCCCGTGGGAACCGGCGCCCCCGTCCCCGACGCGCCCCATTGAACGGGATTAGCCGCGCCCGGCCTGGACGACACCCGAGGCGGGCAGACGGCGTCACTGCTGTCGTGTTCGGAATGCGGGCCGGGACGCACATCCCCAGCCGCCGCTGTCTTTATGGACGCGAGGATGTTGCTCTCGGTCTCGACCGACTTCATTTGACGTGGGGATATGTCCCCTTCTGTGGCGGGTGCCGTAACGCGTGCGTTAGCTCCGTCGCCCAGCTGGTCGGTTCCCTCTCACGGCGAAGCGGCGTGTTTCGCACATGCTCTGCTCTGGCAGGGGCCCTGTAAGTAGGTGCGTAATCATTGGATGGCGTCCCGAGTGACGAGTTAATTTCATCGCTGCCGTGATCGAGCCGCTCTCTACAATCAAGCGCCGCGCGTCGCACCGTAAATCGATGTCGGGTAACGGCCCAAACGGAGAGCCCGCTCCGCCGGCTGTCCACGAGCCGCCTTTTCTTCGTTGGTTCGGGCCAGTTGGATGCATGGTTTAGTGGGGCGCGAGTGAGATCCGATCATGACTGCTGGTGCTCTCGGCATTGGTGGGCTTCCAGTGGTACGCTTTGCCAAACATGGGCTTAACCGACCGAAATATGAAAACTTCGGTCTGCTTATGGTTTTGAGTGTCATCACTTATTAAACGTGCATGTAGACGATCAGTATCTATGCTGGAAGTTGTGTGTGTGGAATCAATGCCTAATTTCCTCCCAGAATAGCACAGAGGTGAGCAAGCGCGGGCTAACGCTTACGGGTGCATGATGCACGAAGGTCTTCAAATAAGCGTTAATTGTGCCGTTGTTGCATTTTGACGTTTTTATGTGGCCTAGAATTGGATCAGTGCAAAGTAAACTTCATATTATGTACGCAAAATTTATCGACACAACCAGGACGCCCAAGTCACGAGAGGATTCGTCCAGTTTGAGACCGTGATTGACACGAAATTGGGGATCTTTTTCAACGAACAATTTATATATCTTGGTTTAATTTAAACGGCGCACTCAAACGGCACTCATTATCACGGACGTCCGTTTTGCTGACTAAGTTAATTTTTATTTACAGCCCTTCGGCTGAAACAAAGGCGTCGTAAAGCTTGGAAAGGCTGGGTTATGAGGAAGCATAAAATGGTTATTTTGCCATAAAACGACTCAAGTGCGCACAGAGAACCCCTAGGCAGAGCAAATCACCCCCGCCGGCTAATGCCAATCAACAATCTCCTCTCATCTCCGTGGAGAACGTTCCAACACCGTCGATACCTCTCCGTTGCGTGTACCTTTTTCGAAGGGCTTTTTGCCAGCATATTTCCGAAGATGCATTTATATTTTTTGGTGTACCTCACCCTGTCTGCGACGTCTACATATCTGAAACATTTTGGTTGTGATCTTAACGTTTGATTGCCCCCTTCCCCTGACGTAACGACTGTTGCGGTGCAGAACTCATCCAAGAGGGCGAGGGAAGATAATGAGATAGCTCGAGGGCAAAAAAAATAGATACAGAAGGTAGCGTAACAGTGCTTATCCACAAAACAGAATGGAAAAATATTGTTACATCAGCAGACGACTCACAATGGAATTGCTCTCGTTGCAAAGTCCTTTCCAGTGCGTATAATCCCATTTCCCGGCTTTATTCATGCATCACCAGATTTGCATTGACAGTGACTAGAATGTGTGGATGCGCTGGCTGGCCGCTGTAATTTCCAGTCGATTGGGCAGCTCTCCGTGGACACCGGGGCGAGGAGACAGCCTGTCTTCCGCCCCGCCGTCACACTGCCGTCAGCCTGCATCCGCTGCCAGGCCTTCCGTCGCCTAGAGCCGCAACTCCCCCCCCCCCCCCCTCCCCTGCCCAGCAGGACACGTTTACACCCCGTTCCAGCTGTCGGCCGGCCGTCTCGTAAAGCGACGTGCACGGCGCACTTCGCCTCGGCCGCGGCACCTCCCCCGACATAACCTGCGGCACTTCCGCCGCCGTGCCGCCTCGACCACAGTCCTCCCTCCCCCCCCCCCCCCGCGCCACCCCGCCTCGCGGTCAGAGGCTGGCGAGCGGGTGGCGGCGGCGGCGGCGGCCATGAGCAGACCGCCTGATGGCTTCATTCGCCGGAGGCGGCGGCGGCGGCGGCGCCTGGAACACGACACGGCCTGGACGGTCCCGCTCACCGCGCCAATATTACGCGCGATAAAGCGTGATTTACGGCGCTCCTGGAAAATCGGCCCGCCGGGGCGCTGAGCGGCGGTGGCCGGGCGACCGCGGCCGGCTGAGGTATTGTTTTCGGCGCGGCCGGCGCGCTCAAACCGCTCCGGATATGTAGATGGCGCTCTGTTTTTGCTGCGTTGAATATCATTTATCCCAGGCGGCGGCGCGCGGAGTGTGAGGAAAATTCAAACGAAAAGCCTCAAGTGGGAGCTGTTTTGTTTGTGGGGTGTGCTCGCTGCTCTTGTGGAATGCCCCGGCACGTTTTGTCGATCCGGCGAGGGAACCCAGTGCAGCGATCGAATACTTGCATTAGCCGCTCCTCCGACGGATCAGATCATTGCAATAACAATTACACCCTGACCACGTCAGATACAGCAAATCAATTTCGTTGATTTACAGTCACGCGAACGCCATCGTGCTACTGATTTATGCTTATGAAAACATTTCATCATGCATAGGCACAAGTCTGTTTGTGATTTCCAGCTGCTTCGTGCCCACGTAATCGCTGATGACCAGATGATTATGGAATAAACCCATTCATTCTAACCGTGCAGGAACGATCCCATTAGTCGCGCTGTTGTGTTTACTGTCGTACTTACCCAGATGGCACAGAAACACGTTACCTTTGCATTTCTGGACAGGGTCATGAATCTTGCGGTGGGAGGCAGGTTGGATGAAATGCATCGTGTCTGCAGCTGCAAGTGATATCTCGTTGCCGGCGCATGCGTACCACTTATATCGCGTCTCCTGCTAGATGTGAGAAGGCGAAGTGTTTCGCACAGCCGTGGAGCAGCGTTTCACATATTTCCTGATCCCAGCGAGCCATGTTCTCCAAACTTAACGAACTACGAAAAAAGCCGCTAAACAACAACGCTGGGAGGGCCGACAGCTCCCGCCGCTTGCTCGGTAGCATGTTTCATCTTGAGCCCTCACTTCCGCATGTCAGCGGAGGGAACTGGCCAACCTGCGGACGGGGCATCACAACGCTTGTCAAAGTCGGCGATGGTCCGCTGGCCTGCTGTAGTGGCACCGATGTTATGATGACGCGATACGAGACGGTGTGACCCCCGCGCGACGGGGCGGCGCGATAGTGTCGTAGCCTCACACGGCGACACACGTCCGTCAGCTGACTGGTGACACTGTCACTTGCCCGATCTGACGCGGCGTCATCGGTGAAATAGTAGCCAGCCTGATGCGCCGGTGCTCAACGTGATAGTGCATGTGTGATGGCTTGTCTGTTTCACCTGGCCTCGTCGGCCGCGTGGCCACAACGCAAAGGGTGTGCTAAAGATTCTTGAAACCGAGTGCACGTCGTATGTGAATGTTTCGTTTACAACTGTCCGTGTATAGAGTGTTGACAGAGTCAGCGTTATTTCGCTTCCTGTTGATGGACTGTCACACGTTTTGATGACGGGACGTCATCACGTGGACAGCGCGGCACCCGCTACCCACCATGACCAGTGTCCCTTCACAAATCGATATCGATTTCGACGCATCTCGAACCGGTCGAGCGGATCCGATGTCGCCGTTTTAGGCCGACATGATCTAACCCGGCCGTTTGCATCCCCCGCAGTGATTCTGGACGAATTCAAGACGATCCCGAAGAACACGGAGGTGGCGGTCGGCGAAAGAGCGGTGTTGGAGTGTGCTCCACCCAAGGGCGACCCGCCGCCTACCGTCCGCTGGCGGCTCAACGGACGCACTGTGGACGTGTCCACCACAGACAGGTGACCCAGCCGTCCGGGGCCCGGGACCGGCTCGGGGGAGGAGGGGGTAACCACTCGGCGGAGCCTGTCCGACGTTGGGATTGTCATGTTTCGCGCCTAAGCGGTGATGGGATGAGGCTGTCTTAGGTTCATGCTGACCGCCATGGGGGTATATCATGTGTGCTGCAGCTCGAGACTCCGTGCTGGGTGTCGTCGCCGGTCGACATGTTGTCGGTAGGCCGAGGTTTAGCGAAACGACGCCTCTGTCAGGTAACCAACCGCACGTGCCTGCCATGTCCTCCTCTCGTGGCGTCTCTGTGACCATCTCTGGAGTAGCGTCGCGGCGTAACGTACTCACCGCCCCCCCCCCCCCTAATGCACGCGCTGTGAGACGACCCACCACGCAGCACAGCCGGCCGGTGAACTGCACTGCCGCGACGTCAATCTACGGGGGGGGGGGGGGGGACTGGCTTGCCGCCGCAGACGCAGCTTGTGTGGCGCCTCTGGCGTCGGCCGCGGTCGTCGGTGGGAGTCCCCGCTCCGGGATAGCCTTTTTACGGCCACCCAGCCGGATACTGAAGCGCCAATGTTTTCTGAACACGAAGTCCGCTCTGCAAACACGATCCGCGACTTCCGCCTTGTTTTAAGTTGCCCAATTACTTCCGGAAGCGGGACAGTCTGGCTCTGTCTTGAAAGGGATTAAGAGTTAGTTTGTGAACTCCCCAGGGCGTGTGCGAGGCTTTGCCAGCAGGCACACAACGCCGCTGTAACAAATGATTCTGCTTTCACGACGGGAGCGCAACGCCCCACTCTGTTCGTCGGCGTCAGCGGGGAGCGGCCCCCTTGCTTCCTGCAGTCGTCAGCCCGGCCGTGCCGTTCGCCGTCCGGTCGGCCCGCCTTCTCCGGCCATGAATCAGAGCTCTCCTGCCGGGCGGAGCGAGCACAATGCTTCGCGCGGTCAACAGTCCGCCGATTCTCCAGCCCCCTCGGAGGGGTTGTCAACCCCCGCTGCTGCACCCTCGAGACACGCACCACTGGCATTATTACCCCGTCTCTGGCGGAGGCATGAAACGCGCGCGATGCCCGGCAGGCAGTGCGCAAGGGCCCGCTTAGAATCCAGAAGAGTGTACTGGTCCCAAATATTCATTAAGGCTCAAGCTTAAGTGATAAGTCGCGCGCGTTTTTTCTGTCCACTACGCAATAAATCCAAGTTAATTCACTCACGCGGCTCCACTGGACCCGCCCCTGCCGTCGGCCTCCGCGCCCCGGAGCAGCCATCTGGGTCAGAGCGTGCCCCCGCGGGCCCAGTCGCAGCGGGAGAGCGGCTCGCAGCGCCGCGCTGGCCGGCCGCCAACGCTCATTGCAATGCCTGCGATGTCGACCGTGTTTGCCAGGCGTCGAAGCTCGGAGGGCAGCGAGCACGCCGGCCGACCGTCAACACGAGGTTTTTCCTCGGGCGGCAGCGGAGAAGCCAGCGGCCAGCGGCCGCACAGAGCGCGGAGCGCTGCGTACAAAACCTGTGGTATCTCTGTTCTCAGCTGTGAAGTTGGCCGCTCTTTGCTCAATGAAGGCAACTAAATATCTGGTTTAGTTTTAGCACAATGCGGTATAGCGACTATGATTTATGGCTGCGCCATTCCACAGTGTGCTGGCTGGCGACGTGGGATAATATCCTTCGCACTCCATATGTCGGACCATAAAATCCGTTTTCAATGACGTTTTTGTGAAATACTTCGCCTTCTCTCATTTTGATGCAGCACTCCGGAAATATCGAAATGTGTGTTGACCTAGCTGGACTGCGTCAAAATGAACTCTCATATATTGCGACTGAATAAAATCGGGCGATTGGCAATGGTTAAACTCAATTGCTTCCTCACCAGAATCTGGCCGAATTTCCCGCCTACCAATCCTATTGGAATCATATCTCTTGTTTAGCTCATTCGCTTTTACTGTTATGTTCATGTCCATGTTATTGGACTAGTGTCTATCGTTCAGGATGCAAAGGCAATTATAATAATCCGAAATGTTATGCGGAACCAGTGTTGTTCTGAAAAGCACGAGTGTTTGCAGTGTCTCTTAAAATAATGCCGTTGCCGTCGTCGTCACCGCCGTGACGGCGTTTCTGAACCCACCCCTGACCTGACCCGCTCTGCCTGCAGGCTCCAGATCGGCGGCGAGGGTGACCTGATCATAGATGGCGCCACCGCCGAGGACGCCGGCGAGTACGCCTGCGAGGCTCACAACTACGCGGGCATGCACCGAGAAACGCCGGCTGTGACGCTCTCCGTCCACGGTACGAGCTCGCCGCCAGCGACGAGGCGACGCGTCCGACGCGCGGCGTTCATACCGATAACGTCATAAATTGATAGACGTGTCGAAGTTGTGGCAGTGCAATTCAATACACTGTCCTTGTAAAGGGAATTGGTCCACGCGGTATATGGCAGCCGAGTTCCGTCCGCCGGCTGTGATTCATTCACGTCACAGATTTGCCTGCAAGATGCCTGGTTGCATGAGACACAAGTTTGATGTGTAGGTACCCTGCGGTTTTCATAACCCGTCATCTAGTCACTGCAAAAAGTCATTATGAATGCAGAGCTCCATGCAGACGATAAACCCTCCGTGAAATGTCGGAAGGCGTTCCTCTTTACCAGAAACTTCCATATCCTGATCGCGCCAGATTAGCTGCGAGACATAACGGACTCGGGGCTGTCACGACGGTCGCGTGACGGCGCCGGCGTCTGCGGCAGGCAGAGCTATGCGTCAGTGCGCCAACCACCGTCTCCACGCGCCATGATTGCTCCCTTAATTGGCCGCTCGGTTAACGGGTGCCAGTCGGCTAAATTACCACTTCAAACTGTTGACGCGGGTCGATATTTCTACTACTTAGTCTGAAGCCTTGTGATAAACAGTCGCGCCTGCTACTCAAAGGCCTGGCGACGAGTGCATTATAGATAATCATTCAGCACGGCGCCCGGCCTTTGGTCCCTCGGCGTCGACGACATTTGTGGCGGTAACCAACGCGACAACGCTGCGGTTTACATTGTCTCTGATATCTGCGCGTCTTCCGGCGGCGCTAGATATGCCGGACTGTTGCTGGCGGCGGCAGAAGTGCCCGAGGCGGGTTTTACGAGCGCGCTGGGGGCCATCCAGACGGGGTTTCGTGCCGGCTGTTTTCGTCTGGCTGGGCTCTGGTCGGCTGAGCACGGGGCCAGGAGTGAGGAGGCCCTTTGTCTGGGGTTGGCTCTGGAAGAAGACAGGTCGTTAAGGTCGACCGAAAGTGTTGACATCCCGCGGAATATGGCGGCCGCAGAGCAGCCGCTTTGTTGGCCAGCGGCGGGTCTGGCTGGCCGTCTGTTGGCATCCACCTCTCCTGCGTCGTCTCCGGTTTGGAACGCCTAGTATTTCAGTAACATGATTTGGATGAATGCAGAGAATATTGGCGGGAAGGACGCGACGATCTAAAACGATTCGTTAAAGCCATCTGGGCTTTGTTTAACAAGGCTAATTCCCGTCTTTTCCGTGGTGCACTCCAAATAGTTACACGAGACTGGGTTTTTCCTTGTGACGTGCTGAACTACATGGAAAACCCTAAACAGTTGTTTACTAAATATGCCCTTAACTCCACACGGTCATGTGCAGATCGTTTAGTTGCTGCGCACGGTGAGCTAAAAACCCGACTCACATTCACGAAGATTTTACATGTCGGCATACTTATTACCTGGCCTGACCTGCCTAAGCAGACGCCGCCATTTCATGGCGCACTCACTGCACAGAGCGGTCCTTATGCACCGTGCTGGCTTACACGTCAGCGGCAGGCATTCTGGTGGACAGTAAGTCGTGTCGCCATGGCACTGTCAGCATTTGGAGAACGAATCCGAGACGCATTAGTTCGCCATTCGCCCGGGCACCCAGACGGCAGACGCCCGGACACCCAGACGGCAGACGCCGGACACCCAGACGGCAGACGCCCGGGTACCCAGACGGCACCCGCCTGGACACCCAGACGGCAGATGTCAGGGCACTCAGACGGCAGACGCCGAGCCGGCTCGGGTGCTGCCACACCAACATTTTGCAGCCTCGCAGATTGGCCCCTGCTTTTTATCGTTTTCATTTTCTGTCGGCGACAGATCCTTTGCCCGGAGACACCCGCCATTCGTCTTTAGCGCGGAAAAATATTGCGGGCCTGTAAGGAAGACGGATGGGTTTTGGCACAGGAGTTTTGGAGCGGTTGGGCAGTTGGACGACTTTGTTGCGACCAAGTGGAAGATGGCTTTTGCGTCGGGTCATCGTCCGGTCAGATACTGAGACGGAATCTGCGAGTTGCTAGTCATTGCATGCTGCACCATGCACCGTCGTCCAAGGGGCAGATAAAGTGGGCTGTTCCTTCAAAATTTGCTTTGATCTGAACTTCGGATGAAGTTGCCTGATCTGAATATTTGAACAGTTTTTGCCTTGCTTGTAACGTAAAACTCTAACCCTCCGCGGTCTTGAAGCTTTCCCGAAGATATTTGGTTCTTTTGGGATACCCTAGAATGTAGGAAGACATCCCACGGGTGTCTTACTCCACCTTTTCCAGGGGTCCAGATCCCTGTCACTGTGTAAGAGATAGGGAAATTGCGTGCCAACTTTCCCTCTGGTTCCATTTGCTTTAGCTGTTGGTTTGTTTTAGCTGTTAACACCGCATTAGTTGAAAAGCCCGGTCAAGTTTAAATAATGGAAAGTTCTCGTGAGTGCCTTAATTTTGTGGATCGTCCACAACTAAGAGCAGTGTTCATTAAGGACATCTTTTGCATGTTTGGTCATTCGAACAGCCATTCGGCAATGTTGGACGCATAGGTCGAGCATGCACTGTTTTTGCACCCAGTCACGGGCAGATACAGAGGAGAGATGCGGGAACATGTGGCCCTTCCTCCGATCACTCGGAGCAGTGGTGTGAAATTTATATATTTTCACTTGCACAGACCGTTTCCTACTCGCAAAAATCGGGATACCTCCCCCGATCACTTTTTCTGGATCCGCCTCTGCACCTGGTAGCGATATGTCGCCGGGTAGTCGGATCGAACTCCCCGGACCTGCGCGTCAGCGCAAGCTACAGATCTACTGACTCCTCGGCCGGAGCTTCGTAGACGGACCGCGAGTCGAAGACTGTACCCCAATCTGCCCCCGTACCTTACACCGAATGGGGCCGCGACTGAGCCTTGCTAATGCCACAGGCCAACTGGCGCGGCATCATCCTGCAGCATCCACAAGGACAAACTCCTCGCACCTATCGTCGTCTGAGGCCCGTCGCTCACGCTCTCAGACGCCGGGACCGCACCCACTCCGCCGCTAAGACCGCCGAGACCTGACCCGCTCCGCCGCTGGGACCACCAGGACCTGACCCGCTCCGCCGCCGGGACCTCCGGGACCTGACCCGCTCCGCCGCTGGAACCACCAGGACCTGACACGCTCCGCCGCCGGGACCGCCGGGACCTGACCCGCTCCGCCGTCCGTTTCAGTGCGTCCGCATCTACTGCGCGCCCCGACGGACGCGACGGTGCTGGTGGGCGACTCGGTCGACCTGGCCTGTCAGGTGGCCGGCGACCCGCCGCCCTCCGTCTACTGGCGCCGTCAGGACGCCCGCATGCCCGTCGACCGTATCAACGTGCTGCAGGACAAGACGCTGCGCATCGAGCAGGTGCGGCCGCAAGACGAGGGCACCTACGTCTGCGAGGCCGACAACCGCGTGGGCAGCGTCACCGCCTCGGCCACCGTCACCGTACACTGTGAGTATGGGGACGCGGCAGACGGGGCGGCAGACGCCGGGAAAGCGCTGCACCTCGCCGCGTCCAGCCTGTTTTGCTGTTTGGTTGAAGGTGCTGTTCTCTCACAACACCGCCTTCCGCAGTCGACTGTCGCACTGAGGGTTGTGTTGATTGCTGCATCGCGTTTGAATGCGTTCCTGTTTGTGTGTTCTGATGTGTTGCGTAGAGATACGCTGTTGCATAGTTGTTTTTCGCTCGAGTGAACGCTCCGAGTGGGGACAATGCAAAAGATATGTGATGTAAATTGTGCTGCCCTTCCGCCGGATAGAACCAATGGTCGGTATAATTTTCTGACGCTTCGCATGACCAGGCCACTGGCCACAGCCGATTGATGCTTATTTTGTCGGGTGCGCGTTATCACTAAGGATCAGAACATGTTAAGTTGTTATGATCTATTACGTGATTATCTGACGGGTGTTTTGTTCATTTACCGGATCAGCATCGTATGCAGTGATGTATAGCAGCTGCTCAGTTCCCTTATTATTTTCGGCGTTCAGCGAATAACTGTGGCGCACAACCATATCCGCGATCGCAGGATTATTAATTCCGCGTGATCGACGGATGCCCTTATACCAACGCTGTGCGTTCATTCCCAGAATAACATAAGAAATATCGCAGTGCCTACTTAGGACGGTATCAGATTTACAGAAGCGGAGTATTAGGATTACGAATAACCATGCTCCCGTATGAGCTTGACAATCTATATGGTGCCGGTTTGCTGAACTTAAACCGCTTTGGAATACCGGTTTGCTCAAGGTGTTCCTGTACGCCGTTGATGTGGTGTTAACTAACACATCAGAACACGATTAATGCGTCCAGGCTTCTCCCGTCCTTTTGCGGTAGCCGACGGCTTTGGGAATCGGTCCATCTTGATGGGCTTCCGACGGACGTGACAAGCACACAATACGCTCGCCGTCTGCCATTGAGATAAATCCACCAAATACATCGAAAACAATCGAAAGGGAGCGCCGAGAATTTCCACTGGACACTCCCTGCATTCTTCATTGATGCTGAAGTCCGCTGGCGGTAGAGATTCCGGCAGCGGCTCTGGCTTGGAGCTGGATCACGAGCTCACCGGCGCCGGCGCGCCATCGCCGACATTGGCGCGGCTCAGCCGTCCGCAGCTGCGCTCCATGGAAATCTGAGCGGCTCGGGAGGAGCCCAGGGCCATTCGGTCCACATGCCGCTCTCTAACTCATCTCGATGTCCGGCCGTTAGATTCAGATGCTGCAACTTTTCACTGCGATGCTCGCAGTTGTTTTATGCGTTTAATTAAATCGGCGGAGGAGAGGCTGGGTGGAAACTGGTTCTTCTTTCGCCCGGCGTCGCAGCTTTGGCCGGCGCCAGAACGTTTTGTGTAATTTACGAGCCGGGTCGGGGATACATTACGCTTAAACGGAGGACATTTTCTCGGTGTTGGTTTAACGGCACAGCTCAGTTGGGTTAAAGGCGCCACCGAATTCTTTCCGATCTGATTGGTTGGTCGTCGCAGCTGACGGTTCGGACGCAGAAACGAGGCGCACTTCGATGGATTCATTGGCACTCGCCAGTTCAGAAAATGTTTCTGCGATAAAGATGAGGTGACCACTAAAGGAAATCACCAGTGGGACTGGGAAAGAAATGTCAGAATGCAAATGTCTCGTTCTGCAACCGACGGGGATGTTTGAAGTAGCTGTTTGGGGTTTGACCATGAAAACTAAGTTGCAACATGAAGTATGTCATTGTTCAAAATAACTGGAGAAGGTGAAGAATAGCTTCTTTTTTTGTTTTAGAGATGGCTCTACGTGCTCAGAATTGTTCAAAGCTGGGATTGTTGCAACAATTGTCGACAACGAAGCGGACATTGCTCGATCCACCTCGCATTGTTTCTTTGAACCTAGTTGACAACTTCTCCATAACGGAAGGCGAGGGCAAAAAGTGATTGATGTTCAACATCTTTTACATGTTTGTTTCCCTCCGTATTTATTGAAAACCGAAACAACTCGTACACTTATAATTCAAATGTAATGGATGACATGAACACTGGTTTTCTTTGATAATCCCGTGGGTCGTGCACAGCAGATACGATTGCAGAAATAATTGCATTTTCCGACGTGTAGAAAACTTGTGCAATTTTTCTCGCTGTGGTTGGTTGGGAGCGTGCTTGGTAGCATTGCCTCAACCCTGCGATATTTCAAACAATGTGTTTCCGCCGTATCATATCAGTTTCACTTCACTAGCAGCTCCTGCTTGTAGTTCCGCTCACCTTTTTTGGAGCGCAACGTTACTTGAAGCTGCCTGTAGCCCTAAGTAGCGGAGCTGGTGACGTCACCTTGAATAACATCGCGAAAGCAGCTCAAACTTCTCCGCAGAAACTTAATGTTTACCGACGCTTCCGCCAGGGCTGCAGGCGTGGATGACCTGGGAGGTATTGAATTTGGAAAAGTGATGACCCATGATTAAGCGATGATTATGATATTAAGCTGCACCTTGCTAGCGAAGTTTGTCGAGCTCCCGCCCATTCAAAGTTCTTCGCTGCGCGTGCCAACATCGAGTCGTTGCTATAACGTCCGCGTTTAACACCACCTTTTTCCGCCTCTACATTTACCTTCCCTCCTCTCATAGCAGCTCTGCACTCTTCCACCCATTTCGTACATGGCTCTATCCCTCAACGCGCTGCCCCTCCTCTCACCCTCTGCCGTCCGCCGACAGCGCATCCGTCGTTCGACCGAGCCCCGAGCGACCGGCGTGTGGCGCGCGGCGAGAGTGTCACCCTGGAGTGCGGCGCCGCCGGCCACCCGACACCCACCGTCTACTGGACGGCCGACGGCAGCGGCGACACGCTCTTCGCCGGCGAGCAGCGGGGCCGCTTCAGCGTCGGCATCGACGGCAGCCTGCGGATCGACGAGGCGCGTCGCGCCGACCGCGGCTACTACGCCTGCACGGCGCTGAACGCGGTGGGCTCGGAGGTCGGTGCGCGCGCACCTGGAGGTGGCCGAGCAGGGCCGCGTGCGGCCGCCGCCCGTGCTGGCTGTGCTGCCCGGCAACCAGACGCTGCCACTCAAGTCGCTGGCGCTGCTACCGTGCCGGCCGGCGGACGGCGCCGGCGGCAGCGTCGGCTGGGAGAAGGACGGCCAGCCGATCCGGCGCGACAACCCGCGCACGCAGGTCGATCCCGACGACGGCTCGCTCAAGGTGGACGGTGAGTGGACAGGGAGCGGGAGTGGACACGGAGCGGGAGTGGACAGGGAGTGGGAGTGGACAGGCAGCGGGAGTGGACGGGGGCGGAGGTGGACAGGGAGCGGGAGTGGACAGGGAGTGGGAGTGGACAGGGAGCGTGAGTGAGGACTGACATTAGGAGGTGAACATTGAAAAACTTACCAACGGTTAAGCAAACATCGTTTTCATGATATTTTGTTTTCAGGTCCATTATTTAGCTCATTTGCTGTCTATCACTCGTCATTCGTCAGCAAACAGAATGACCAAGGCAATCAAAGATTCTGACCACCACTGTGATGTCGTTTCCTGGAAGCTTCATGTGCCCACCTGCTGCCACTTCGTCCCCTCGGAAGCTACATGTGCCACCTGCTGCCATGTCGTCCCCCCGGAAGCTACATGTGCCCACCTGCTCCCATGTCGTCCCCCCGGAAGCTACATGTGCCACCTGCTGCCATGTCTTCCCCCCGGAAGCTACATGTGCCACCTGCTGCCACGTCGTCCCCCCGGAAGCTACATGTGCCACCTGCTGCCACGTCGTCCCCCCGGAAGCTACATGTGCCACCTGGTGTCACGTCGTCCCCCCGGAAGCTACATGTACCACCTGCTGCCACGTCGTCCCCCCGGAAGCTACATGTGCCACCTGGTGTCACGTCGTCCCCTCGGAAGCTACATGTGCCACCTGCTGCCACGTCGTCCCCTCGGAAGCTACATGTGCCACCTGGTGTCACGTCGTCCCCTCGGAAGCTACATGTGCCACCTGCTGCCATGTCGTCCTCCCGGAAGCTACATGTGCCACCTGGTGTCACGTCGTCCCTCCGGAAGCTACATGTGCCACCTGCTGCCATGTCGTCCCCCCGGAAGCTACATGTGCCACCTGGTGTCACGTCGTCCCTCCGGAAGCTACATGTGCCACCTGCTGCCATGTCGTCCCCCCGGAAGCTACATGTGCCACCTGCTGCCATGTCGTTCCTCCGGAAGCTACATGTACCACCTGCTGCCATGTCGTTCCTCCGGAAGCTTCATGTGCCACCTGGTGTCGCAGATCTTCTCACCTCGGACAGCGGCACCTACACCTGCACGGTGACCTCTGCGGCCGGCGTGACCTCGGCGTCGGCGCGGCTGACCGTGGCCAACCCCACCAACCCCAACGTCAACTTCCACCGGCTGGCCGAGCCGGGCACGTACCCGTCGGCGCCGCAGCGGCCCCGCGTCGCCGCCCGCAACGCCAGCTCGGTGACGCTCGCCTGGCGGCCCGGTCAGCAGATGGGCGCGTCGGCGCTGCGGGGCTACACGGTCGAGTACTACAGTCCGGACACGGAGCGCGGCTGGGTGACGGCAGCGCGCCGCGTGGCCGCCGAGACCGCCACCGTCGGCGGTCTGCGCGCGGACACCACGTACGTGTTCGGCGTGCGCGCGGAGAACGGCCAGGGCCTGTCGCCGCTGTCGGAGCTCACGGCGCCGGTGCACACGCTGGCGGCGGTGCCGGAGGGCGCGACAGGGCGCCGCCTGGCGGAGGCCGCCCGCAGGCTGGAGAGCTTCACCGTTCGCCTGAAGACGGCGCGTGCCATCTCCTCCGACGCCGTCAAACTCAGCTGGAAGGTGTGTGTTGCAACGATGCGGAGGCGAGCGGGATGGGGGGGGGGGGGAAGTGAGTGGCTGGGGCGGGGGGGGGGAGACAAAGTGCGTCGAGGAGGTTGGTTTCGGAGGAGTTGGTTGTGTGCGAGCGTATCGATCAAGTGTACTTCGTCATTGTCTGTGCGTTTTGGCTCCTATTTGAATTCGAAAATATGTCTGGAGTACTAAGCTGGAGACAAGTTTTACCGAAATGCTGCGAAATTTACTATGACCTTTGGCAGTGTTGCGTGCGATTACGGTTGGCTATTTACTCTCAAGCAGTGGATGCATGCTCCTCGCGTGTCATTGCCTTCATGAGTTTTGCAAGTGGACAGCTCTTTGTTCCCTCTGTTTCAGATTTTGACCAATGCCGACTTTATCGATGGATTTTTGATCCGCTACCGCGACCTGTCGAGCGGGCGCTACGACGTGCTGAGCATCCACAACTCGGGCGGCAGCGCCTACATCGTGGCCAAGCTCAGAAAGTTCACCAACTACCAATTCTTCCTGGTGCCCTTCTACAAGATGGTGATGGGCAGGCCGTCCAACATGGTTGCGGTCCGCACGATGGAAGACGGTGAGTGGCGAGTCCGTCGACACTCGGACTTCGACGGGGCATCGCATGCACCTGAGAGAGAGCGAGAGAAAGAGAGAAAGCGAGAGTGAGAGAGAGGGTATATATATATATATATATATATATATATATATATATATATATATATATATATATATGGCTTGTTTTATGGAACCCTGGATTTGATTTCACTGCTGAGCTTGATGTTAACATGCCAACTCATTACCGTTAATGGAAATGGGGATGTCAGATAGAAAAAGCGCAGGAGCTGAACCTCAACTGAACATGATAAACTGACGGCGGTGTGTAAGGTTGCAGTAGTGAGGAGCGTCTTCCGTTATGCTGACGCGCCTCTCCACCTCCGACAGCACCCAGCGGTCCTCCACTGAACCTGACCGTTCGTCCCATCAACGCGACGGCCGCCGCCATCTCATGGCTGCCCGCGGCCGAGGCGGACCGCAACGGCATCACCAGCGGCTACCTGCTACACCTCAGCCAGCAGGGGGGCACCTTCCGCTTCAACGTCACCGTAAACGCCAGCACCACGCAGGTGATCCTGAAGAACCTGACGGCCGGCGCCGGCTACCTGATCCGCACGGCGGCCGTCAACCGCAAGGGCACAGGACCGCTCTCGGAGCCAGTCAGCTTCCGCACGGCCGACGGTGACGCCCCTGGCGGCGGCGCTGCCGACCCGCGGCTCGCCTCGCCCGTGAAGAACGTTGTGAGCGAGGTGTGGTTCATCGCCACCATCGGCGCGCTGGTTCTGCTGGCGCTGGGCGTGTTCGTGGCCGTGGTCTACTGGAGGCGGCGCCGCGAGAAGAAGGCGCTCGGAAACCTGACAGGTGAGCCGAGCCGCGGAGGAGGCGGACAGTGTGCGGGGGGGGGGGGAGCCGAGCCGCGGAGGAGGCGGACAGTGTGCGGGGGGGGAGCCGATCCGCGGAGGAGGCGGACAGTGTGCGGGGGGGGGGGAGCCGAGCCGCGGAGGAGGCGGACAGTGTGCGGGGGGGAGCCGAGCCGCGGAGGAGGCGGACAGTGTGCGGGGGGGGGGGGAGCCAAGCCGCAGAGGAGGCGGACAGTGTGCGGAAGGGGGAGCTGAGCCGCGGAGGAGGCGAACAGTGTGCGGGGGGGGGGGGGTAGAGAGGGCGTCGGACGAGACACGCCCATGACAACCAAAGAAACTGGCTAGCTGTGCATAGTTGAACGATAATCAGGCGCCTCAGCGCTAGGATTTTAATGATTGAGACCGCAGCTACCAAGATCATGAAGCCTTCTCCCGGGTTTAGTGTCCCAGAGTCTCCTCGGCAAAGCTCCGAGCGACATTAGCGTACAAGCCGCAACCGGCCCTCGACCACTGACCACACGAGCCACCCGTGGTGTCAGTATAGTCACGCGTCGTGGCACGCCCCGGTGCGACAACGCGCCGCTGGAGCGCTCTGACCAGCCGCTTCCTCCCCGTCAGTGACGTCAGGGAAGCCGGATGACATTTCGCTGCTGCCGATGCACGGCGAACGTGGCGCCCCCTGGGTGGAGGCGTCGTTCGACCGCGGCTGGCGAGGCCAGTTTCAGAAGGAGCCGGAGACGAAGCTGCTGAACTGCGACGTTGCGCCAATGGTGGCCGCTGAGTACGCCGAGCTCGACCAGCGAAACGTCAGCACGTTCTACGGCGCCCCTCACGGCTCGTACCGGCCGGGACAGGTGAGGCTCGTCGCATAACGTCAGTTTTTAGCCAGCTGGGGACGGGCATGACGGTGCAGATCAAAGCCGCTCTCATAAAGTGGGTTTATTCTTCTTATTGCGTGGTCGAGACATCGAGGAAAATTGCCCCTGGGGTGGGCTTGGGCCTTACGTGTTTCAGCTCTTATTGTGATTAGGTAACCTGCCGCACTGCCGCAGTATCGGCAGCGCGTCTTTCCCTAGCAGAAAAAGATTGTTTTTTAGAAAACAGATATTTCTCCACAGCCCGCTTTGCGTCACCTGTACACTGTCCCAGCTTTAATATGCAGATGGCACTGACAAGCAGCTACCATTGTCATAACACAATGTCTGTGTGCAGCAGGATGAGCCAGCTCCGTACGCCACCACTATGCTGCTGGGTGGGGCGGGCCGGCGTCCGGCAGCGCGTGGCTCCGGCTCCGAGGAGCCCGGAGTCCGGCGATCAGGGTCAGATGAGTCCAGCGGCGTCAAGAGGTCCGGCTCCGATTTCGGCGCGCCACCGGGCAGCTCCGGCTCCGGTGGGAGCGGACACAGAGGTGAGGCTGGGGCAGGCAGCGAGGGAAGCCGGCACCAAAGTGAGGCTGGGGTAGGCAGCGGAAGGAGCTGGCGCAGAGGTGAGACTGCGGCTGGCAGCGGAGGTAACTGGCACCGAGGTGAGGCTGGGGCTGGCAGCGGAAGGAGCCGGCGCAGAGGTGAGGTTGGGGCGGGCAGCGGAGGTAGCCTGCAACGAGGTGAGGCTGGGGCTGGCAGCGGGGGAGCCGGCACAGAGGCGAGGCTGAGGCTGGCAGCAGGGAGAGTTGGCGCAGAGGCGAGGCTGGGGCTGTCAGCGGGGGAGTTGGCGCAGAGGCGAGGCTGGGGCGGGTAGCGGAGAGAATGGGCGGGGAGGTGAGAGTTGGCCTGACACAAGCTTACATTTAAGCCCACAAGATCATTATGATATCGATTAAACTCAGCACAGCCGGCATTTCGCCGCATCATCTCGCTGGGCGCTTAAGGAAACAACCAACCATTGATAAGTGCAAGAGTAGAAGCATCCAGCCCGAGTGTACACGCACTTCATCCGTTCACGGGTTGCAGGTTCGAGGACTCCATGTTTCGACGGCCACCCCGGTGGACACCCGATGCTCGACTTCAGCGAGTTTGCGCCGCCACCACCGCAGTTCCCGCCGCCGGACCTGACGAACAGTACGCGCGCCTCGCACTTCCCGCACCTCCCGCACGGCGGCTCGGCGCCGTCCGTGCGCGGGATCGGTTCGCCGCACGCGCAGCGCCGCCCAGCGGTCAGCTCGGGAACCGGCAGTTCGCGGTCGGGCCGCTCGGCGTGCGGCCGCCAACCGCTGTACAACGTGAGCGGCGAGTCACGCGGCGGCCGGCCGGCGGAGGAGGCCGCCTACGAGTACGAGGCGGCGCTGCTTGTGGGACGGCGGCGCGGCCGCGCCGGCGAGCCGCGCCTCCAGCTGCAGGAGCGGCCGGGCGCGCCGCAGCTGCAGCTGTACGGCGCCCCGGACGAGTCCGAGTTCTCCGACCGCGGACCCAGCCCCGAGTCGTCCGTCAACGGCGAGACGGGCGGCAGCTGGGAGCCGACCAGCTGTGACGAGGGCAGCGACGACGCCAGCGCCGCCGCCGGCGGGCCGGACGATTTCGGCGAGTCGGTGTCGCGCGCCGCTCAGCAGGCGGGCATGACGGTGAACGGGGGCCGGTCGGCCGGCCGCCGGCGCGCTTCACCCTACTCCACGGACAGTGCGTACAGTGCACAGCCGCGTCCGCCGCGGCCGTACCGCAAGCGGGGACATCCGACGGCCAATACGCTGGACCGACCGTCCGGACCCGGTACGTTGTCGGTCTGGACCGTGCGTGATGCGTACAGAGTGTTGAGTACGGGTCTGAGATAGCTTTGGTGACGTCCATATATTGTGAGTTGGCTCAAAGAAACGACAGCAGTCTGCCCACACTGGCCAAAAGTTTTTTGAAATCACGTGTCGTAATATGGCATATCGGTTGATGCATTCCGATTTCTCTGAGTTGGTGGCTGGGGTGACTCCGACTGACCGAGAGTGGCAGCTCTCGTCCGCTCGGCAAACAGCGTTTTCAAACACCCCGAGTCATTCGGAGAAACTTGCGAACGAGTCACAAAGTTGCACTCGCCTTAGATCTATACTCGTGAATTTTTATCTCTAGGCTCGTTCTTCATCTGAGAACCACTTCACAGGCTCGAACATGGAGTCCTTCCATCCGAACGACTTCAACCAGCGTGGCTACCGGATCCCTGAGGAGCGAAACATCGGGGAGAACGGGCCACTTCTCGCCAATGGCGCATTGTGAACGCCCACACAGCTCCCAGGCTCGTCTCCCTGAGGAGAGAAACACCGGGGAGAACGGGCCGCTTCTCGCCAATGGTGCATTGTGAGCGGTCACACAGCTCCCAGGCGCGTCGTGGAGGGACGCCACATCGTGGGCATTGCGGACCGTTGAACTCTGTGGACTCCGATGCGCAGCTTGGTGGAGTCAACGCGACTGCAGTGCTGAGCCGTGGTTTAGAGTCAGACGTCGAGTAAGCTGAGAGTACTTGTGCCACTGTTCGTGTTTGGAGGTGGCGAGTTCTAGTTGACAATGTGATCCGTATGCTTCAGTGTCTCCACCTGGTTAACCATCGAACTCTGAGCTATGCCATTTTGTTATAGTAACCGCTTTCTTACTTTTATAGCAATAGTTTTGTGGTTCCACACCCACCCCGTGTCATATACGCACCACACTGAACAAAGCTAGGCAATAGGCTTTTGGTGGCCCCCATGTTTGAGAGATGGATTTTGAAGGCGTAACCCTTTTCAGTTATCTTCCATAGGTCCGACATACACACTGCCTTGCACTGATGCGCGTTTTGATGCTATATACCGTGCAATGCAGCATCAGTGATTTCGTTTGCGAGATTTTTTATCTAATCAATTGGTCGCGTTTAATCACATTACCCGATGAAAATTGTCTCCCCAATACGATTGTGACATTCAGGTCATGCGTGCCGCGGGTTGAGGAAGCCGTATTTGTGACACGAAGCTGTCCCCTGTGACCTGAACCTGCGAATGACAGACCGTGTCACCAAGTACCCTTATCTGAAGTGTATCATTTGCATGGCGATGTTTTCGGAGCAGAACCTATGCGCGAAGAACGCGGAGCTCACGTTTCTCCGTTAGGGAAAGTGAATGTGCCGCTGTCGTTTGAGCCACTCTCGCGTGCACCCGCCATATCCCCGACGAACCGCACCGCTCCGTACTCTGTACACGCGCGTGGGATGTGCCCAATGCCGTTCGTGGGTTCCTCCAGGGCACCCATCTCGCCCCTACAGCCGTGTTGTAGGTGTTCCGCCAAACTGGTGCACGTTCAGGCTGTGATAATGTATACGTCGATTGTGCAGGGCAGTACGCCGGCGCAATAATTCCCTTGTGATTGTGGACGGCTGGATGTCGGCGTGTAAGACACTGGCGGACGTCAGCCTTGCGCGTGCGATGACGTGGGAGGGTCCGCGCGGCGGATGCCGGAGGGGGCCAGCGCAGGGGACATCGAGAAGCGATGTTCTGGGGCGGTGGTCCTGCTAGTCACTTTACGAGCTCACCGCGTCGTCGCTTTGCCGTTGAGTACTGTCAATAAACGCTCGATTTTTAACGGCGACTTGATGTGGAACGTCGGGCTAGTCGTTTGTCAGTTTCGTCGGCTGCACATCGGCTCCGCCTCGGCTCACATTATGGAGGTGGAGGGGCGAGGCACCAGAGGCCTTTATTTGCTTCATTTTTTCTATGCAGCGTCTACATCGTCGAGTTTATTTATTAAGCGAGATGTTAATTTCGCAGAGTTGGGAGCCTACCACTGCATACCCTTTTCTGTGACGGAAGCCACGGTTTTGGCATACCGTACATATTGTCGTCCCGTGCAGAGAACTGTTATCGGATTGGTGCTCTACTTTAATAGAGCTCATGGAAGCATGCTGCTGTTATATTCTCGCGTCGTTGGCCAGCGCGCCGCGCTAGCCGTTACCGCGGAATATGACATTGCACCAGTTGCGATATTAATGTATTGTGGCTCAGATTAATTACGTACTTGCTCCGCTTGCCAACCGGTATAGGCGGGCGGGCCCGAAATGCTTTGTTCAGTGTTCACTGCAGAGCAAACCTGGCATAGCGCACCAGCCACCGGGAAGGGAAACACAATCTCACTGCGCTTGTTTCTTACACACAAAACTCGAATTGAACCAGTTACTTTATACTTCAAACACTGATACTCGCCTTAGAATTTGTTTCACCATCAAACAATTATGAAAGCATATCTTATACGAACCTTGGCACAGAGTGCAGACACTTAGAGACACATGAGAGAGCCTCCCCTCCTCCCCCTCCTTAAAGGCCGCAGGGTCCCACCCTCTGTAGTTCGTCTCCAGTGACCCACCCCAGAGAGGCCCCGGTGCGGAGCGCCCCGAGAGACCGTCCATCATGTCCCACATAACGCGCGCGCTGGGACGAGACGTTTGCCTCCTCGCGCATGCTCACAACTCGGCTGTCGCACCTGGGGTACTTGGAACGACTGCTTCCGCCACCTAGCGGCCGGGCGCGGCTCCAGTGCCGGCGTAGCCGACAGTTCGGGTGACGACCACCTGGCGACAGGCCTCCGAACCAACCACCGCGGGGTCTCGGAGGCGACCGGGCCCGCGACGGATGGGGGGCTGCACCCGCGTTCCTTGCCACTTACGCGCTCAACGCCAGCCGTGAATGGTGTGTGTAAGATAACGAAACAAAGAAGAGCGCGGCTGACTGTATTTAAAACATTACCGGCACCTCCTTGCACACGTCCCCCGCGCCTCTCCCGCCAGGCAGAGCTGAGGAGACGACCCCCACGTATCGGCCGGCCGGCTCGGCGTGCAGGCGGCACAGTAAGAGTCCATATCGTAGTGGATGAAATACTTAACACTGAGGTGCTGTACTACGAGCCCCAATCAAAAATGCCATGGCTGTCTGCGCAGTGGGAGGTATAGGTAATGGATTTCCGCATCGGGTTAGGCGCGAGGTTAAACACATGGATTGATGTCCATCAAGGTGAGCACACAGACGCGGTGTGTGTCATACGTGTTGGAATCAGGGGCGGATCCAGGATTATAACAAGGGAGGGCAACGCTTCATTGTGGTGCCACCTGGAACTTGGTGCCGCTTGAGAATCGAGGTTTGGGTCCATGGTGTTGCTGATGGACTTAAGTGCATGACGAAAATGAAGATTAGGGGCCATTTATGGTGCCCCTGAAATTAGGTGTCTCTTGAAATCAAAGGTTATGTGGATAAGAAGTGAGGATATTGGTGTCCCTTCGCCATGATCTATTTGTGCCCCTGCGGCCCGAAGGGTGCATGGCTCCGTGCCCCCCCCCCCCCCCTCCCCCATCCTCCGGATCCTCTGGACTGAAGTACATGCAAGGACCAATGCAAGATGTGGAGGTCTTGTTCATTGCTTGGTCATTTTAGCCTTTGGGGCAGAGTGGCACCACACATATGGCTCAAGGCTGAGGAAAACAGTACTTTGCTTGTTTCGCGACATCTCATCACGCTTTTTTTGCTGGATGACAAAACACGTTCATGATTCATCGCATTGTTCTGCATACGCGGAATATGTATGCATCGAGCATATGTACCTGCGAATCTCGTAGAACTGCAAATTTGGTGAGGGTTTGTATCAAACAGATGGTATTCCAAAGAGGAAACACTGAGAAAACACACACAAACACTAAATTAGCATCTCCGTAAGAGTTTGCCCGTGCCCTATATTTTCTCTACTCTGAAACGAGTTAAGACATTCGCTCAATTTGGCCACCGATATCCATATAGAGATGTCACACTGTCTGGCGCAACTAATACAAATCCTGTGGGTTTCCGTCAATGGTAATGTAGCCGCGAAATCACCGAAGGGGATCGACTTCGCGGGGACTTTGGTGGGCTCGGACGGAGTGTGGTCGTTCGTATTTGTGAGAAGAGAATCGCAGAGAAGGTTGGTAATTTGTTTGCGACGGGTCAAATGACTGGTCATTCTGTCAATGTCCCGGTTGAGGAGCTATTGTGCTTGATGGATTGGTCCTGAGCTGTCCCGTAAATTCTACTGGGCTAGTCGACAAAAAATGCATCCATTGCACCAGACTCTTACGTGACTGTGGTGCCTTCAGCGCTTTGATGCCAGTACACTCTTCTGCCATACTGTGGCCATGTCAAATTGCACCAAATTTTCAATTAGTTGTTTTTAAAAAGTACTGGGCATGCTTGTTTAAAATAACCAATGCAATATATGAATTACTCAAAATGTAAGCTACCTACCAGTGTAAAGAAATCCACCCACTGCTCTGGATGCCTCATGTCATGCCCTGAACTGGAGTATGTACATTAAATTCAGCCTGTCAAAAATGTGTTGAGGTAAACAAGGCTGGACATGTCTAGCTATGGGAGGCTGGGCTTAGTGTGAGGCTTCAATCAATTCAAGCATATAGAGAGCCTTCGCTTAGTTTCACACTAGCCCCAGCCTGAGGGCACCAATTAATTGTAAGGATTAACCAGCAGGTAGTTGTATTGCAGGCTGTTGCTGAACTCAGGCCATACCACATTGTGTAGATGTTTACCTTTTTTAGCAACATGATTTGTTGTAACATTTGCTCTTTATGCACTGATATTGTTGATGTCATTGCATGGAACTGGGGAGGAGGCTCAGATTTATGGCATACCTTTTAAGCAGCAAACATATTTTTTGCTGCCTGACCTCTGAGGTATGGGATGGATAGTGAATCTTAGAAAGAACTGCTTCAAGCATTTTGCACTAGGTTTGACTGCTGAATATTATGGTCTCAACCTGGTTGTTTCACAATGCCAGCTGGCAGCAGCTGATTGCATGCATGTGAGATTTCTTGCATACCATGCTTGATTGATGTAAATCATTTCAAAATAATTAGTTCAGGATATTTTGTAGCACTTAAATTATGTTGAGGGTGTTATCTCTACTCACTACTGTGCTATATATTTTTTCATGTGTATATCACACAGGTGTTGAAATAGAGTGTCTTGTTGGATGTAAGAGGATAGGGATATATTGTATAAGGAAATGTGCACTAATCCTATCATTTATCTGCTAAAACGCTAAGTTATACAGTCAAGATGTCATGACTTATCTGTCATATGACTATACGTGTCAGCTGTTATTAAATGTCATTTTCTATCATATTAAATGTCATGTCATATTCTATCCACACCTATAGATGCCATCTTTTCCATTATGATATGATCTTAATTCTGAAAAAGAGCTGGTGAGTGAAAGCTCCTGGTCATGTTTAATTTCATGAACCTTTCCTTAAACCAGTTTTCATGATTTCCACAGTGAAATGCCAAACAGACAGCAGCAAAGTTAATGCTTTGAAATTGATATAAGCAATAATGGCCAGTTGAGCTAATTGACTCATAATCTGCTGTTAAATGCCAGCAGTCAAATGCCAACCTGATGCCAATGCACATGGTACCCATCAAGCTGAATTGCTGCATGCCAACACCACTTCAAAGCTCTACAGAAGGATTGAGATGGCATATTATTATTACAGATGGAAGGTGTTTAGACTACCATTCTCTGTGGCATCTTAGAATTTACTCATGTTTCGGCCAGTTGATTATCCTGGCTGTTACCAGGTGCTGGTCAGTCCTGATTAGCACTGGATGGTGTTTGGCTGTGAGCCATGTATATGTCACAACCTGAATTGTCTCCTTGGAATTGCCGGTGTTCAAACTGGAGTCTTCTGCTTATGATCCTAGGCTGCTTCTGCTGAGTGAACTGAGGACAACTAATTGAAACTATTTAACTATTTGAAACATTGTGTGCATACTAGCACATCAGATGGGGATGACTTTCAGAACAGCTATGCCAGGCAGTAATCAAAATATTTCTTGACAAATGAGAGGTGGTTTATTTTTCCTGTCAGTCATGCCAATAATGACTATAAAAATGAGGTTGAAGCAAACATGGCAGTTATTTGTGCATGCTTGTGTCACATGTATACAGGAGCCAGGTATTGGGCTGGGACATTTTTTTTTAGTTGTAGGTTCGTAATTCATCTGCTCAAAATATATGCATCTTACCTGCAAGAAGAAGATTGAACACTTAACAGCAGATTGCCAATTATCATCAGAAGCAGTATTACAGCAAACATTGCAGAATAAGCTGTGGCTGCTTGCAGCTTGCAAGAGATGCATTTTTGTTTTATTTTGCATTTCAGTGAAGTAAAAGTGGAGCAGTCCGTTGTTAGCATTGACACCTCACGGCCGCCCTGTTCGTTGTTAGCATTGCCACCTCACCGTCACCCCTGCCTGCCCAGCCAGCTGCCGGACGCCGCCATGCTGCCGGCGCTGATGGTTGTGCTGCGGACGTACGCGCCGGTGATCACGCTGCCCGTCGCTGCGCTGGTCGGCTTCGTCGGCTACAACCTGGAGAGTCTGTTCGACCGGAGCACTCCGGCGCCGCTAGAGGGCGTCAAGGACTCGCGCGAGGAGCGCCGCCTGGAGGACGCCGCTGCAGCCGTCGGCTCGCTCAAGGACAGGACATTCGTGCCCAAATCAGTCTTCGAGAAGAACGTGTCGCCCACGCTGACGAAGCCCAGCTGAGGGCGGGATAAGCAGTAGGTTGATTCGTGTTCGCCGTGTGCGGACGATGTTGATGGTGTGGTATTGTGCTAGGCTATGTTGGGACAATGCTGCGTTTCGGAAACGCTTCGACGTGACGTCGGACTTTTGAGGAGACATGTTGTTTTGATGACATCACTGTAAAATGCTTGACTGTATAGCGCACCGCGTTTGTTGACACCCATCTCACTAGTGGCGCGGACAGGCTCGTTTTGTCTGGAAGAATGACACATTTGTCACCTTAAAAATTACTTGCGGTGACAATGCCGTTTCGTTTATCTGACAATGCCGCTTTTTAGGAGAGGAGAGGGATTTTCGTCGCATGTTCAGGAAAACAGTCGCGTTGTGTGAATCATGACAAAGTGTTGGTGAGTGTTTGCGCGTGAGCCAGCTCGTCCACAGGGCTCGGTGCTGCTGTTCTGGCGATGGGGCATCATCTGCGATCTGGATGAGATTTGGGAGCATTGTAAGCATAGCGGTCACGATTGTAGAGGTTACCAAGCTGCAATACATGCCCTGGGTACAGCTTTTGCACATTGTGGGCGCCGATTGTGCGCCAGCTGTAAATGACGTCAACAAGAAAAGCTCCTGCGTCCAGACATTTACGACAGCTCGAGTTGTTTTTGTGCAATCATGTGAAATATAATTACGGTCGTATGATAGCCGACAGCGAGTTCTGTTGCTCGCATAAGCCTCTAACACTGGGTTCACTACAGCAGCCAAACTGAAGTAGCAGACAACTAGGTTCCAACAAATGAAGGTTATCCTGCATTACATGTCAGGTGCTTCCAAAAAAGTAAATGTGTGTAGACCGGGAGTTGCAGTATGGCCAGAAGGTGCTAGAGGCTGCCTTTTCGTGGATGATTTTATCTCATGTATTCATCTGATAGCCCGCTTACACGCGCTTAACTAATACCGGACCATCCTATAACCACTGCTTTATCAATCACAATTTTCTCATCGATAGTGTCCAACTCTTAGCAAGCTAGACATTCCCCTCCACAATCTCGACAACACATCTGAAGGAAGCCGCGGCAGAAATGTCCACCGCTTCAACGCACATCACCCAGCAAATGCTCATCACCGTCTCACGCGGAGCGAGAGCAGCGCGCCGTCGGTTGGGGCAGCCGCTTCTTAAACGCAGCAGCCCGCTAGAGCCCACAGTAATATGACGGTCGCGTGTGTAACAAACAAGGTCTCCAGCAGCTTGCATCCAGTGAACCGCACATCGGTTTCAGCTGTACAAAGCCACAAACTCGCCACGTGTCTGCGGTGCCCTGCCCTACGGGCCGGCCACTCCACGTCGCCGTGACGGTCTAAATCCCTGGTGAGAGGGAGAGAGAGAGGGAAGGAAAAAGAAAGAGAACGAGAGCAAAACTTTCGAGGCTTTGGAGTCTATAGACGGGCGTCCATGGCGGAGTACATGTTCGGTACGGAAGGCGAGGCTGCTCTCAGTGCGGCTGCGCGCGCTGGGCGTGCCCGCACGCCAGAGTCAAGGTAGCGAGGCTGGAGCGACGCTCCGCGACCGCGGACCCCGAGCCTGCAGGCATGTCCGGGGCGGGTGGCCGCCTGGGCTTGACAGCTGCCCTTCAGAGTATGTAAACGTTGAGGTTGTCGTTGCGCAGCGAGACCTGGGCCTCGTGCAGGATGCGCAGCCGCGGTCCGATGGGCACGCCCAGCTTCTGCAGTCGCTCCTCCGTCATGTAGGGCAGCTCGAGCATCCCGATACGTTCCCGCTCGAACAGGGTGGCGTATTTCTGCCGGAAAAAGGCGCGGTGCGTCCTCATCGGTACACGCACGCTGACTTTGTGTCCCAGACAACCGGCTCACCTTTTACTCATCCCATGATGGATCGCCTTGCACCTGTATCCCAAACTAGATTGCGTTCCCTATCAAAGGTTCACCAATCAAATTGCATTCCATACCAGAGGTCCATCAATCAGACTGCATCCCACACCAAAGGTCCACTACGCACCAGACCAGCAGTCCACTTCCGCATCCAAGACCATCAGCTCACTCTGCATCCCAGGACGGCAGTTTATCTCGTGGCCCAAACCACCAGTTCATCCAGGATGCTATCTGGCCCACACACCTCGTATCCTAGCTTGTTGAGGAAGAGCCGCAGCAGGGGCGGCTCGTCGCCGAAGAAGCGCGTCAGTTTGCGCACACGCGCCGGCTGCGTGAGCGAGGCGGCGCCGCTACTGAGCAGGCCCCAGTTGGCGCCGGGCCGCGCACCGCCGCCAGGGACCTGCCGCAGCTGGGCCAGCTCACTACGGATCGACTCCATCTCCTGCGGCGGTGGTCAAGGCGCCGGTCAGCAGCGGTCAGCAGCAATCGGCAGCGGTCCGGCAGCTGTCAGTAGCGGTCAGCAGCGGTCAGTAGCGGTCCGGCAGCGATCAGTAGCGGTCAGAAGCGGTCAGTAGCGGTCCCCAGTCAGTAACGCTCGACCTGCCTCACGGCATGGCTACAGAAGGGTAACCGGAAGGCACTCATTTATCACAGGGCAAATATATCTTAAGGTATGGTCAATGATCGTCGCAGCGAGTCCGCAGCGGGTGGGCGAGACCGCTTTTAGCTAATTTAAGTTCCAGCTGACTTTGGCATTGACCGATCATCGGCCCCCGCCTGGCGCCACGTGACCACTGACCTGGAACATGAGGTGCTGGGTCCGCATCTCAGAGGAGAGGTGGGCCACGCTCCTGGCCAGAGTCACCACGTGACTCTCCAGCCGCTGGAACCGCTTGTTGATCCCCTAGAGAACGAGCGAGGATTCATGTGGTCACACAGCGTTGCCACATACATACGCTTGCATGCATTTACACCACGTTAAATGTTCGTTATTGGCTGCAAGAACATTTTAAAACGTTGCTCCGACGCAGTCCTGTCTCGATATATGTCGTGATTCATCAGACCACTTCTGTTCTACCAGAGAGCGCAAACACACTGACAGGCATTCAGAGATAGCCACAGAACGGTATATTTCCAGTCAGGATATGTTGTCAGCAGAGATATCTAGCACACCTGTCCAGCAACTCTAGACCACCTTCTTTCGATATGCAGCCAGTCCTGGAGCAGACACAAAATGGTGGCTTGAGCTGTTTGCGGGTTGTCATCTTGGAATACACAAGCTCTGCGCCTATCATCCCAAAATGTCCCGGGGCCTGCCGTCAGTCAACGCCGGCCGAGTCTGCTTTACGCTCAGCCACCTCCCGCGCACCTCAAGCCGGGTGTCCCGGATCCCGCCGTCATTCACCGCCGGCCGAGTCTGCTTTACGCTCAGGCACCTCCCGCGCACCCCAAGCCGGGTGTCCCGGAGCCCGCCGTCAGTCACCGCCGGCCGAGTCTGCTTTACGCTCAGCCATCTCCCCCGCACCCCAGGCCAGGTGTCGGGCGCCTCACCTTGGCGTCTCTGAGCTGCCTGCGGTCGTCGCGGCGGCGGTCGCGCGCGGGCCGGCCGCCGATCGAGGAGGGCAGCGAGGAGACGCTGCCGCCGCCTGGCCGCGGACGACTGGTGCCGCCCCTGGCCGGCCGCGGCGCCGTCGGGCTCCGCCCCTGGCCGCCCAGCAGCCGCAGCACCTGTGGTCGGCCAGCCGCCGTCAGCCTACGCCAAGCTAATGTCGGTGGCGGCGGTGTTTGTCTGTGGCGAAATAGTGTGGCACAACGGGCCGAAAAAAGGCAACACCTAGCGTGCGGAGATGATGTCGCATAATGTGAGGTAAAATATTGCTGGAGAAGGCAGGGAGGCCAACTAAAACGGCCTGTGTTTCACAAATTTCGAATCAATCGGTAGTTGTGCAACGTTGATAACAACGCTGACAGCGACACGGCGTAATCCGAGGTTTGTGTACAGACATTGCGAGTACTATACTGCGATGACGCAAACGCAGCAGCGCGGTTAGAGGAGACAAATGACGTCAATGCGTCCCGTCCCGTCCCGTCCCGTCCCGTCCCGTCCCGTCCCGTCCCACCTCGGAATACATGGTGCCCAAGCTCTGCAGCTGCTTGCGGACCGTGGGCCCGTCGAGTCCAGCCTCCAGCACGGTCGATTCGTCGTCGGTGGTCTGGTCTGTGGTCTGGTCTTGCGCCGACTCCAGTTCCCGGCCGGTGGTCAGCGAGGCCAGGTCGCCGCCCAGCCAACCTGCCCGACGGCAGAGTGGTGAGGGTCTCCGCACCGCGGCGTTGCTAGACGGAGGGCTGCGATGCAGCTGTTGTCCAGGGGTACAGCTGTGGGGCGGGCGCGGGGAGAGCGTGGAACAAGCAACAACCAGCATGGTTTGAGCGCGTCTCTGTCAAAGCCATGGTGATGCAGCATCAACAAAAAGTCTTGATGACTACACGCATTCAACTTGGACGACTTCTCCCGAGCAGGGCCGGGCATTTTGATATACATGTTAAGCATGGTCAAGCAACATTCCCCGTGCATGACCTACACCTGCTGCACTGACTGTCCCTGAGTGCAACCTTGACCCGGGTGACCGAAGCTTTCCAAGTACGGTCACGACCTGCTTCCACGGAAATATCTGCGTCCGGGGCTGATCGGGTCAGGTTTCAGCGGGGCGCTGACCTGACGTTCCGGTTCGATTGCCTGTGGCGCCTCGCTGCCGGGCTCGCTGCTCTCGGGTCATCACTGGAGACTCCTTGCTGTTCCGGGGCGCCCAGCCGCGGCCCTGGCTTGCGCCGGGCGTTCGCCGCGTCGCCGAGCCAGAGCCTACCCTGCCACCGGGGAATGGGCCGGCGCCGGGCGCTGCGGCGTCCTCCAGGAGGTCGGGCTGACTGGAGCCGACGGCGGCCGGCTGGGCCTGCCCGCCGCCCGGTCTGGAGGACAGGTGGGGGGTGGTGACGGGGGACCGGGGCGGTGAGCCATCCAAGGCCGGCAGTGGGGGCGTGGCGCCGCCGCCGGTCCCCGAGGGCGGCGCGGTGACCTCGGGTCGGCGAGAATGGGGTTCCAGGATCTGACGCAGCTCCGTCTCTGCCACGCGGTCTTGCCATTCGGGCTCCATGCCTGGAAAGGGCAACGTGGGGACGTGATGTAGAACCTTTCTTACTGGAAATGCTCGAACATCCCCAACCTTGTTTCGTTTACGAACAGCTGATCAAGCGCTACGGTCCATATATGTGCTTTTTAGTCGACTAGTTGTCCACACCACCCAACATGAATCACTTCACTTCAAGTTCGCTGATATTTCAACTGGATCAGTCTCATGACGCAATAGAGTTGCGTGGACTGCCGAAGCTATTCCGGAATCAAGCATAACCAAACAGCTGCATAACATGACGTGTTGCCATTCCTGCCAGTCTGGGGTGTCACTTTCTAAAATCGTTTGGGGAAGGCTGGGCCAACAAGGTTGACCTAACCTGCACCTTAATCCTGATTTCTTCCCCTTGATTTCGGCCCGTTTGATTTGTACCCCAGTTGCTGGAATTTTACTTTAAAAGTATTTGATAGGTTTGAAACTTGTTTTGATGTCGAGGAATGACTTCCTATTTGAAGCCAAAGTAATAGCGATGATGGTATACGATGATGATTTATCGATAGCTATGTGTTTACATAACTACTGTACCAGCAGCTCAGGGACGCTTGCTGTATCGCTGATCTGCATCTCTGCATTGCATCTCCTTTTGATCACAAGCACTGGTAGAGGGGAGGGGGGGGGGGGGGGGGGCTCAGAAGAGCACTCAGGGGGCTCGTCATTGTGGGCTCAGACGTCCTTCCCCTACGAAAGCCTACAAAGTAACGCCCTTTTCTGGGTGCAGGTCTTATCCAGCTCGTACCCGCGTGGCCGCCGCGCTGGCCGGACGGCTGCTTCCGCGGGCGTCCGTCCGAGTCCAGGCTGGAGTCAAGCTGCGCCGGCGGCGCCGCCTGGTGAGCGCCGCCGTGCGCCGGGCCCGGCGTCTGGCTGCGCAGCGCCTCCCCCGGCCGGCTTCTGTCGGCGCCGGTCTGCTCCTGGCCCGCCTGCTCCTGTCGCGGCGTCAGGTCCAGGTGAGAGGACACCGGCGGGCCTTGCGGCGCGGCATGCCTCGGAGCCGATGCGCCCGCCGGGCCGCGCGGCGCCTGGCCGTACCCGCCGTCCGTCGGCAGCCGGCTCTGGCTGCCCTGGCGGCTCAGGTAGTGTCCGGGCGGCGGGAGGCGGGTGCCGTACGCGGGCGGCGGCGGCCGCGGCTGGTGCGGAGAGAACCCGCTCGGCGGCGGTGCTCGCGGGCTGCCGGGGTACGCCTGCGCCGGCGGCGGCCGCTGCGGCCGGGCGTCGCCGGGCCTCTGTGCGTGCGCGCCGTACCCGCCGCCGCCCTGTGGACCAGGGGCGGACGTGCGCGAGTAGCTGTGCGCCTCGTGGTACCCGGCCACCGGCGGGGAAAACTCGTGGCCACCGTTGATGTAGCCCTGGCTGCCGTGGTACTGGCCATCAGAGGTGAGACCGTTGGTCAGTGGACGGAGCAGCTGCGGGGAGCCAGGCCCGCCGCCCGGGCCGCCGTACTCGCCGTACTCGCCGTACTCGCCGTAGCGCGCCGCCCGGCCCCGCGCGGCAGCCTCCGCCGGCCAGGGCGTCCGGTCTCCAGGCGCGCCAGCCTCCGCCGCCAGCGAACGCGGGCTGCTCCGCTGGGGCGCGCCCCGGCTGCCGGCGGCCGGCGGCGCGTGGCCGTTCAGCCCCGCCACGCCGCCGTGATCGTTCGGAAGCAGCGGAATCGCCCTGCCCTCGTCGTCAGGTCCGACTCTGCTGAAGCGGTTGGACAGCATGTCCTTGATGTGGTGGTACCTCTTCGTGAGCACGCCGTTCGTCGTCCGATCTGGGGCGGCGTTGGCCACGTCGAACATCGACTGGCTCACTCCATTGCTCTCCTGCCAGGCGCGTGGGATCGGTAGACCCTGGAAAACAAATGCCCTTCTGAAACTGGTGTAGTGATATTTCAAAACATTGACGCCCGAAGTACTGGATGCTGTCGGTGCATTTCGATTGAATACACCATAAGTGTTCACAAGCGTTCTTAAACATATGTTAAAATGTGTATTACAAACGCTTTCATGACCATAAATCGGATGGCTAATGATCGGACAAAAAATATATATGCCTTAAATGCCAACAGGAATAAATGTCGAAGTGGATATGATCGAATAGCAAAGCATCGATTGTAACATGTGACGTAAAGATCGGACTAAAAATGATAGAATGAGGACATTGTTGAAGACGCTCCATAAGGAAACAAATCTAAATTCAAGAGGAAATGAGTCCCACTAAAAACCTCAACAGCCGTTACGCACATTTCCGGAGGCAGTCAACGTGTTACTGCAAGAGAAGACATCAAAATGTTAAATTTAAATAGCACCCATTGGTGCAAAGTTTAATAACAGCATATTCTAAGCCGTTTGTGGTTTTGGATGGCGAGATATGGCCCACATGACATGCGGAACAGAAGTAATGCTTCGCCCCCCCCCCCTCTTTTAAAATGGATGTGCATTTCATTGATACTGAACTGAAATCGGACACGCAAAATTTATTAGTGCCCTAGCCCTAACTTACCCCAACTAACGTGTTGTGCATATTTTTGGTTTTCTAAAAAGTGTTCAATAATTCGACATATAGCAAATAAATGATAATCGGTATCACGCCTGCCAACCGATGAGAATACATTTCGTTGTGTATCGACGGGTGCAGACGGCCAATGCTGTAAAGGGTTTGTTAAATAATTCCGCTTGCTTTCGTTTTTCGCCTCACTGTTCGCATGTTTTGCCAGGTCTTATAGCAATCATACCTAAAACGCCCGCACAAAATAAGCAGCTTTATACGTTGTCCGCGTTTCATGCAAAAGCTTTAAGGCCATGTCTGCCAATAACTCACGTGACGATCCTGGAACCAGCTGTTTTTGCGGCAATAACCTGTTTTCAATTTGCAGTAGTTTAAAGACATTTTGGCTTCAACCCTGTGTAACGGTTCCCTAAGCTATCCTCACCACGGTAGCGAATCCGTGACTTCCGAAAGCAGCTCAGAGTTGCTGACAAGATCACTCAGGGCCAGATCAGTTCTCAGAGTAGGTGTCATTGCCATCCCTGGGAACCATGCGGATTGGTCTGCTGTTGAGCTCGTCTCATCCGCCTTGATAAGAAAAATTACCGCTATTTTAATCCTATCGTGCACCCGTGAGAAAAATGTTATCATCTAGTTTTTACTGCTACGAGCTAGCCGCCAAAACAAGCTTATTGAGTGCATCTTACTTTGACATCTCATCCGCTGGGTTGAATGCCGATTAGGCGAGCAGTTTTGCTCAAAGATTGACATAAACTGGACATGGATAAAGTTCCCATTGTTTTTCCACTCATTAATTGCAATGAACCTGGACGGGATCAGCTCCGGAGAAGCCGGACAGTTTTTGTTTTAATTGATTTATTGTTGGCTGAACACGAATTTGGCGGATCAATGAGCTTTCATATCTTACTTTGTACACCTAATGTTGACTTATTGAATCTGCAACTTTTCTTGCATCCACGGCACCATGACAAACTACATTCTGTATAGCATATAGATTGTACGGCAAGGGGCCGCCCATAAATCGCGTTACGAAATTTTGATTATTTTCAATTTCCCTCCCTACTCAGTACGCACTGGCTACCCTGGGTGATGACCCCTCTCCACTGATAACGCTATGTTGGGCTAAGCAGGTGTGGTGAGTTTGTCCGCTAAACGTGCTTAAGGGCGAAACAAAAGGGGCGTGATGTTTGTCATGAGAGGAGGCCAATGATATACGGCTCTAAGATTTTAAAGCATATTTTAATAGGCTTACTTGCAACCGCACCAGAGCTTACCGTTATGCTGTCTACCTACCCCTCCTCCCCCGAACGTTGCGCTGTCTAGCCCCCCTCCTCCCCCTAACGTTACGCTGTCTACCTCCCCTCTCCCTCCCCCCCCCCATACATGAAAGGTTTCCAACGACTATGCACGCATAGCCAGATATTGAGGGAATTCAGACAAACACTGAAACCAACGCAGAGTAAATCGCGAAGCTTCTACCGATGCGAAGAAATCAACTGCACACTCTAACATCGTGGCTGTAAATCAACCGACGGCCACGCGTTCTTTGCCATGTGCCTGTATTAATATACCCACCCTCACCATGGCGTAACCAGCACTGGGGTTGGAGTGGTCCGAACCCTTGTTTTCTGGAGGAAGGGAGAGACGGTACCATTTTTTTTTGGGGGGGGGGGGTTTTGAATGCATCACACGACATCGATGTAGGCTAGCCCCATGGACCTGCAATGTGGTATCCCGCCCTTGGCTGCCGCGCAACAAACATGCAACCAGAGCTAAACCGCGGACGAATGACTAGGTCAAGCAGTCGAGCCCCGAAATCACCTAGTTCCACCAACTGTCCTTAAGAGTTAGACGGATCATGGTTGTCTTCTGCTCCGGCAGTGTTTTTTTTTCACACACACGGTGTGCTGCAGACCGACTGCAGCTATGGGGGGGGGGGGGGGGGTCGATGCAAAGCAACAGCTATCGCCTGTAACGGACCAGCGTGCATGGCTGTGTGCAGCTCCGTGGCAGGGAAGGGTACCGCGCTGATGAGGCGATCACAAGGCTGCAGCCCGCCCCACGGGTCAGTGAAACGATGTCGAACTCCCAACCGCCTCTGGGAACCTGACCTAGTCAGATGTTCTCGTAGATAAGGCGTCGGATGGAGCTGTCTGTGGGTTCCGTCCATGCGGTGTCGGGTCATGAATCGGCCCACAAGCGGCGCTGGTTTGCGAGCTCAGTTCGCCTCTCTTTGGTCACGGAAACTAAATGAGGCCCGCGCAGCTTAGACCGCGCGCCAGCTGCAGCGCAATCGAGATGTCTTAATAATTCAGCTGCATCCCCGCTTTGGGAGCACGGCCGGCAATGCGTCACACTTGGGCATGAGATGCGACGATTTTAATTGCGCACCACGTCAAATGTTTTATTGGACAAATTGCAACTGCCGCGAGTGGTTACGGCGTGGTTGACTGTAACACGCATCGATAATTAACACCCAACGGCGCGGCAGCCTTCAAAGGCGCACAGGTTGTATGAGACGTGCACTCATGCCGCATGAGTGTTCTCCAAGAGAACCAAACTGACAACGGCTGTAGATCTACTGGACAGCGCAGCACAATGCTGAGCGAAGACTGAAACTGCCATTAAGCTACAACTGTAAGATATTTGTTTCTTTCTCTGCTCTTCCCCTCGGCATTCGAGCCACTTCCAGCTATCACCTCGAAGCCAAGGATGCGCCGAGGAATGTAATTCGATCAGCGGTATAGCGAGCATTCCTGCCTAATCTCCCGCACCATTAATATTGTTCCGCGTGAATCACTGACAGTGGTTGGCGTTACGCGCGGCGCCGCCAGCGTCCCATTGAAACGAACCCGCAGTTTCTGTCATTCGATTTATCACGCTTGAGAGCCACCGAGGTACGCGGAGCAGCGGACAGGTCCGGGTCTGGCGCCAGCCGCACATTACACAGAGTAGCGGACAGGCTCGGACCTGGCGCAAGCCACATAGTGTGCGGAGCAGCGGACAGGTCCGGGCCTGGCGCAAGCCACATAGTGTGCGGAGCAGCGGGCAGGTCCGGGTCTGGCGCCAGCTGCACAGTACGCGGAGCAGCGGACAGGTCCAGACCTAAAGTCAGCCGCGCGATATGAGCTGAAGAGAGAATCTTCGGGGGCTCGTCCTGAGATTGGGTGCGGCTGATTACACACCCGGTATTTCCGTGAATAAGCCTAGTCTGGAGGAAACGGAGAGCAGGAACATGTATTTACGCAGGATATAGACGCGCGACTTTCAGCGCATATAGCCCGGTGCCATTTGTCTTACGTTCTGAATCCACAATTTTCAAACTCAGAGGCGTGCATAATTTAGAAATCTAAAACTATCTATTTGTACAAAATTTATACCGAATATTCACTAAACATAATAACATGGCGAAGTCAGATATAAATGGCGCTAACAGTGCGCCTTTTTCATCGCTCATAGCTCACCACCTTGTAAAAGTTGCATTTTTGTTTGAAGTCATACAATTAGTGCGGATAGTGTAGTGGTTGAGGTGCTCGTCTGGGAAGCCGTTGGTACGGGGTTGCTTTGCACCCTCTACTTTGCACCTCGCCACAACCTCCCTGCCCTCTCCGTGAAGTTGTTGTGACCCCACTCACGCCCATCCCGTGACCTCCCCTGAACCCGACACCTCATTCTCGTGGTGTCAATCCTGCCCGCCAACATGAGATACAGACGACATTATATAGGGTCAGCAGCTGAGTGCGTCGTAAAGTGCCAGTGACAACGATGAAATAATTGAAAAATTACACGTGTGACGGCAGCCTCGGTCCGCAGCTAGAATTCACAAAAAACTGAATGCTCACCGTCACTGCGATATCCAATGCACGAGCATAGGCTGCACATTGAAACTCCGGAATAACCTGTGCGACCAGAGTCAAAGCGTCTGTAGTACTTAACGAATTGAATCAGTCGCACAGTGGACCCTTCGCGACACTCCTGTGGCCCTGCGACCTTTCCTGCAACCTTCGTGATCTTCTTACGCGCCCCCTTGATCATGTTTCTGACCTCCTGCAGCATTTATGCGGTTATGTCTGCTGTGACCCTCTTGTGACACTATGTCCCTACCACCCTTTATGTCATCATATGACACTTCTTGTGACTTCCCTCCCCTTTGCACCTCACCACAATCTCCTTACCATTTTCGTAAAGTCGCCGTATCCCTACGCACGCCCACCCCGTGACCTCCTCGTGACCGCAGGACCTCACCGTGACCTGTGCGGGGAGCAGACGACCGCCGAGGTTAGCCAGCGCCGGGTCGCTGCCCGACAGCGGCCGGTCCGTCAGCCGGCCGGGCAGCGGCGGGCCGCCTGTGACGCCCGTAACGCCCAGGTCCCGCGGCGGCGGTACCGACTTGTACACGCCCAGCTCGCCGTCTGCAACACACAGAGCCTGTGTTCCAAAGGCGGAAACGCTCGAGTCGTTGGCTGTGATCAGCAGGCTGGTAGAGGTGCAGGGTACGCAGTCCAGGTGAGCACGCGGAGTTGTAGGGTACGCCGTCCAGGTGAGCACGCGGAGGTGCAGGGTACGCCGTCCAGATGAGCACGCGAAGGTGCAGGGTACGCCGTCCAGGTGAGCACCCGGAGGTTCAGGGTAAGCTGTCCAGGTGAGCACGCGGAGTTGTAGGGTACGCCGTCAAGGTGAGCACGCGAAGGGGGTGACGGCAGTGTGCGGAAGAAAGCACACCTTTCAAGTGGAGGTTACACCATAAGCGTTGAAAAGTGTAAAATTCGGAAACGAGGGACATGGACGGCAAAAGTGGAAAGGTGCAGCGGGACAGTCTTCAGCCCCGGAAAGCGTAAACATTTACCTCATGGCGTGACACGAAGTCAAACAAGGCAAAAAGTATTACTCGTCCTGTCCCCAAAGCCCTGAGACGACACGTTGTCACTGCGATGGGGCACCCAATTTCATCACAAACTTTTATATCGGATATAACCGACACTGAATATGCCAAGAGGTACTGTTTAAACCACATCATTTATCGATCATCGGACTTCTTATGAACTTTCCCATTTTATATACCACTCATTGCCTGATGATGTCTATTAACCTACGCCTGCTTGCACGTTGAAAGTAAACTAATTCCAACATAAGAGCTCATGGGGTCGAAAATCCAGCAGCTGAATCATTTTTTGTTATCAAGAACCCAGCCTCCATGGCAGGCACTATCAGTGCCACCAAGACCTAAAGACAGCGTTTGCAATCATTGGCTTGTTCGGTTTTCAGTCTATCATGCCCGTCACTTCGAATTTGTACGCCCACACTGGGAGGGTGTATTATGAACGCATTCCAGCTGTTCAGCGCGCCACCTTGGCACCGTTCTGGCTGCCAACAACCGTGGCAGCTTCAGGCTGTCTTGAACGGCAAGGCCACCCTTTCACCAACACAAAGACAACTTTGGACAAAACCAAAGAGTTCTCGTGAGTCGTAAAGATAATTATTGGGTGGAGTAGAAAGAGGCCGTGGGCGCCACAGATCAGAGCTGCGTCTGATGTCTTCACGGTCCCCGACCGGCTTTACCTGTGGTCCCCCTCTCAAGAAACAAGCGAATTTCACCTTCAGCTTGCAGCATCTGTTGGCTGGGTGGTTAGACTGCGGGTACCAGGAATGTAGTGTTTAGACTGCGCGTGTGGGGAAACCAGAGGCACAGAGTTTGATTCACTGCGGTGCCCGCCCTTCCCTCCAGGGTGAGAGACAGGCAACACCAGATAGCTTCAGCAGTTGATTGTGTCGTAAAGTCGCGATGACGACTTGGTTAGATTGCAGGCTCTGTGACATAAGCGTAGGCGTCATTAGTCAACCAAACTTCAGCTTCGTCCACGCTTACATGCTAACATGCTACCATGCTAAGCGACCAGGCTCAATTCAGGTCCGTACACGACCGAGGAATCTAGAACATCAAAAGGAGAGGAAGGGCGCTTGTGGGTCCTTGATCTCTTCACCTCCGCGCAATACCAGACGGTTGTATGGAGGCGCCATGGAGTATTTTGGAGGTGACACTGCGCTGTAGGCTATGACAATGACAATGACATGCTGTACGCCCAGTTTGGGGCTACACGCCCCACAAAACCAGACCCAGCAGCGAATTTGGGGAGGGACCAGGCTTGTGGCGCACCTGGTATTCATGACACGAAAATTAAATATGAACAGTAAAAGTTGAATTGCCATCGCCTTGGGACCATGACCTCTGCCCCCTGGCATGCCTCCAGCGATATCCAGAACGATGCATTCTCTCGGGCTGGCGTTCCCACTCCATACCAACAAACCGTCCTAGTCGAGTGGAAGGTTCCAGAAACGGCGGCGCGGAGGCTGCCGCCGGGAGGGCGGCGGTCGACCGACGCGTGAAATCGTTAACGACAGACTCGGGCGGGGAGATTGCATTCCACAGCGGAGTGACCCGTCGCCCCGTGTCGTCCCATCTGTCATCTACGGCCGAGAGCCACGGCCAGACACGGCCCGTCACTTCACTGCGTCACTGCGTCGCTGGAGGCGGTGAGGTGAAACGACAGACGCACTCCATCATGAGATCACACGTCGCCGCGTTAGACGCGCTCGTGCCTTCCATGCCCCTAACACTGCAGGGTCAAGCGTTGCGGTACTTTTGCTTTTCTCTAGGAAACCGGAGAGAAGTTCCCTTAATCTGGATGGTGATCGCGAAATGAAGGTTAGATACGGGGAGAGGGTTTTGTGACCATCATACTTGTAAAACAACGAGAATTGACGTCATTGGTTTGGAAAAAGCATGTTAAGTATTTCATCGCGTGTCAGTCAGTTAATTTACAGGGCTTCGCACATAGCTTTCGTGTAAAAATGCACCTTCGGAGCCTCTGCTCTTCCACATATTTATGTGGTGTTTAACTGACATCGGCCTGAACCATGGTGAGGGTTTACTGGAAGTGGATCTCGGAAAAGCATTCAACAAGTATCCGTGTGACTATTCCATGGGAAATTACGTTGGCATTCGTCTTGGGGCACATTCTGCGCATCCCTCACATTCTTCCTCCATTTTCCACCACTGCCCGCGGGGCAGGTGGTGTTGATTGTCGTGCTCGACGTACGATAAGGGCGGAGCCGTCAGCAGCCGCCGGGGGCACAAATCTCTAACAGGACGGTTACGAGAATCTCTGCCCCTCGCCCCGGCTCCACCCACTGGGATCTCAAGGATGATGGGACCTTGGCAGATCCTGCAAGGCGTGCTTACTGCATGGAATCGGAATCCACAACCATCACGAGCCTTCATAGCTTCGATGCATTTCAAAACGTTATGCCGAGTTACCATCCCTGTCTTTGAGATCGCAAAGAACCTGAGCACCGCGTCGAACTAGAATACCTAGTCGCTCCCTGACGTCAATCGCCGAGCGGTGAGCCCGGCCTGGAGCATTGCTCCACCGTCAGCCCGACCTGGAGCACCACTTCACCGTCAGCCCGGCCTGGAGGACCACTCCACCGTCAGCCCGACCTGGAGCACCACTCCACCGTCAGCCCGGCCTGGAGCACCACTTCACCGTCAGCCCGACCTGGAGCACCGCTCCACCGTCAGCCCGACCTGGAGGACCACTCCACCGTCAGCCCGGCCTGGAGAACTGCTCCACTGTCAGCCCGGTCTGGAGGACCACTCCACCGTCAGACCGGCCTGGAGGACCACTCCACCGTCAGACCGGCCTGGAGCACCGCTCCACCGTCAGCCCGGCCTGGAGCACCGCTCCACCATCAGTCCGACCTACCGCTCCACCGTCAGACCGGCCTGGAGCACCGCTCCACACTCAGCTAGCCTGGAGCACCGCTGCACAGTCCGTCGGCCTGGAGCACCGCTCCACCGTCAGCTGGCCTGGAGCATCGCTCCACCGTCAGCCCGGCCTGGAGCATCGCTCCACCGTCAGCCCGGCCTGGAGCACCGCTCCACCGTCAGCCCGGCCTGGAGCACCGCTCCACCGTCAGCTGGCCTGGAGCACCGCTCCACCGTCAGCGCGGACCCGGAAGAGGCGGAGCCCACCGCGGCGGCGGCCGCCCACCCACTCGGCGCCGAGCCCGCCCTCGCGCAGTCACGTGCAATTACACCAAATTGGTTTATTTGGACGGGTGAGGAACGGGAATGCCGCCGCGAGTGCTGCCTCGGGCCAGTCTCGATCCGGGAGGGTCGGCGAGACTGGGGTCCTGACCTCTCCGACCCGGCGGTCCCACGACGCTCATGGCGAAAGGCAAATCTTAACCTCAGTGGATCTGAACAGACTAGTGGGTTCGTGACCTAAAACATATTTCAGTGCAGCACAATGTATGTACGTTTGTTAAGCATCTTAACGTAAAGATACTTGCATCGTTATTGATGAGGCTTAGACGTAAACGCTTATTATATAACGGAGACGAGATAGAGCGCAGATGGAGTGGAGTATGCACAAAATGCACATATCTTACAGGTCGGCAGTAATTTTATTCACTCCACAGATCTATATCTGGGGAAACACTCCTCCCTCGTCCATTAATTTAAATGCCATCGAATCTGACTCTGAGGAAAATCATATTTTACGAGCTTGACGTGATGATGACTAATTCTCACATCATTAATCATGGCCAATCGAACCGCACACTACTTATGAACACAATGAAGCCAATAACGTGAAGGGAGCTCCACAGATTTTACGATAAATTCGAGTGAATCGGCGTTAAGTTTGGAGCTTTGCTGTCCATGAATCCATGCTCCCAACTAGGTACACCGAGTCTCACTAATAACAACGTGAGGTGAACAAGAATAAGGAAATTGGTGACATCGACTACGGTTAGTTAAGCAAACCTACTTCCGTTTCTCATTCACATGACGTTAATCGGAACAGCTGTTTGCGAATATCTTGAACACCAATATCTTAAACCCTCACCCGCGTCACCCCGACAGCTCTCACCTGGTGATGCGCAACATATTAGCACGGAGATTACGGCGCCAGGTAAGCAAGCGCGACTGTTGAGAAGGACCCGATGAGATACGCCAGGCTTGTGTGTGGTTGACGTCATGAGTTCCTTTCACATGCTCTATGGTCTTGCCGTCGCATGCGATTGGTGCAAAACTGTTCAGCTTACTCGCCCACGGCTACACGTTGGCAGGCGAGTGAACTGAACAGGCGGAGCAAAAGGGAAAGCGTATGACAATCACAAATGATATAAATGCCCAGGTACCTGTGCTTGCATTTTGAAAAGTGCGGCGGCAGGAACTGACACGCTAGATACACTGATATATGCATACACACACACGCACGCACGCGCGCACGCACGCACGCACGCACACACGCGCGCACGCGCGCACGCACGCACGCACGCACGCACGCGCACACACACACACACACACACACATGTATATATATATATATATATATATATATATATA